GCATCCGGCCACTCCAACTGACAGAGAGTAATCAATCTATCTTTTAACATTTCTACCCCGTAATTCCCTTTGAACTTACTAAAGTTCCTTAGCATGCATCCTAATGGGGTTGTGGAGTTTTCTTCTCGAGAGCTACCCGAATTCATTGTGTCAATCAAAATTCAGACCTATTTGCTGAACACCAAAACAAAATCACTCAAAACAAAGTTCCCGAGGCTAATGTTCAGACTTATATACTGAACGTTCCAAAATTCCAAATTCCCCGAGAGACCATTTAACAAAACAAACTACCCAAATGACACAAGGCAAACGAATACTTACTCCGTTAACACCCTGGCGCCGTCTCTTCGGACCCACTTAGCCTGGTTGACTCATTTAAGGGAGAGCCTTTAACTTCCTGGGTGTTTTAACTAACGGTTCCAGTGTCGTGACAGACTCCAAAATCAGTCTGGTGCGCACTTTACGAACACCTTTCCCGTCTTGTTATTTTATCCCAGGGTGGTCCAAGGGCAAGTCCCATCTGGGGTGCCAAATTGTTGCACAAACGGCTAGTTTCGTGCCCCTGGAGGCTTGTTCAAACCACCTCTAGGAGAGAGTCTCACACACAGGCTGGGTCCAATTTCAGATTTATTGTTTGCAAACAAGTTCGACAAGGGAGCTTAATTTACTCAAATCCGTGTCGACCCCAAACAGAGTCTGGGGTTCCTTTTTATAGCTAACATAAACAAAAGATTCTAACGTGTCGCGTAATTATTGGCAGCCCAAGTATTACGTTTTATAACCTATGTCTAGCAGGTACATGTTTTATGATGGTTTACATACATGTCTCATTTACATCTTAAATCTCCTCCCTGGGGCCATCTTTAAGTCCATTTCGGTCATTCTTTGGTCAAGGTCTGAGTTTTTCACATCAGCACCTTTCCCTGTGCCTCTTTTCTTATCTCTCGTAAGGAGTTATTTATTGCATCTGTTCTTGGCTATGTCTGTAGAAGTCTAGTGTTACTCGTAAATCTATCATTGGACTATATGCCTTAGCAGAAGCAATTGTGTAGTAAAGCCAAACAGTTCTCAGCTGTGAAGCCTTTGTGTAGTGAGATGAGACATTTTTATCACACAGCTGCTATACAAACGTTATTGCAAAATCATGACGACTAGATTATAACATATTTTTACCACATAACCTCAGGAAGACACCTGGCCCAACTTATACTTCCAGCTTTCTGTTGCCATCTTCCCACTTCAGCAAGGCCATACTAGTTAATTCTCTAAGGAGGAGACTACATAAAGCCCTGCAACATCCCAACCTCTTGGCACAACCCCTGGAAACATTTTAAAATATTAGTGGAAAAGAAAGCATTTCAAGAAAGCGCTTCCTGAACGTTTTATTCACAGCTGCTATTTTTTGAGGTCTGAGATCTCTTGGTTTCCACCTGACACCTCAGCTTTTCTAACTTCTGAAATAAAACGCCAGTGTCAGGTCCAAGTCCTCTTCCTTCAAAGGGACATGGCTTCCCATGGTAGCGAGGCAGAAAGGTCAGATCTCTAAGAGACCTTTCCTCGGGAGCAATAGCCAGCCTGGACAGTAACTTGTCTGCAGTGGCTGGGATCACTGGCTGCAAGAGAGTTCCATAAACCCGAAGACATTCAAGAGTGACGTGGAGGATAGTGTTGAGCCAGCACTTCTCAGCAGGGTTCTTTTGGCACAGTTTCCAAGGCGTGTGTCTCTGGAAGAAGCCATTGGTTTGCCTCACACATGCAGTGATGGATTCCAAAGCCTTGTATATTTGAATGTTCTCAAAATAGTTTGTCACTTTGAGAGGCAGGAGTGTTACTGATGTCACCAGCTCATAGTCCTCCCTCAAAGCTCTACCCAAGGCTTCTGCCCCAACTTGGTCAGAGCTCCTTGGAAAATATGACTCTGAAAAAGGTGGGTAAATCCCACTGGGGTTTATGCTGGGAGCTGTACAGCGATTCAGAAGCCCCCCAAGGGCATCTGCCAGCTCTGAATTCACAATCTTAATAACCTTTTTGTCATAATAGTCACAGTCTCGCTCAGGGACACCTTGCCTTAGCAGGAAGTACCTAAAACCATCTATTGTATACTGCCTGAAGCAGGCCAGTGGGTCCACCACATTACCTAGGCTTTTGGACATCTTCTGCCCATGGACTGTCCAGTGGGAGTGCACATATATCCGTTCTGGTGGGTCCAGTCCCACTGCCATCAGTAATGCTGGCCAGTAGATGGCATGGAACTTGAGAATGTCCTTGCCCACAACGTGGTGCACAGCAGGCCACCAGGCATTATGTGCGTCAGGATAACCCAATACAGTCAGGTAGTTTACCAAGGCATCTAACCACACATAAATGGTTTGTGTTGAATCATCCGGGACCGGAATACCCCACTGTAATCGACTCCTGTTACGGGAAACAGAGAGGTCTAGCAAGTCATCTTCCAGCCACTGCAGCACACTGTGGTAGAAAGGCTCAGGGGAAATTGCATTCTTGTCACCATGGAGCCATTTCTGCAATGGTTGTCTGAATTCAGATAGCTTGAACATATAATTCTCTTCTTTGGTCCAGTGTACCTAAGAATTCCAGATATAAAAGAATTACAACCAACATCCTCCACTACTGGTCCTACAACTCATGCACACTTTTGTTAAATGTGAAAATACAGTTGTAGGCACTCAAGGCCCTGAGCACCTTGTGCCTTCCTACAGCACAAGAGTATAATTCTCAAAACGTAGGCTTTGAATAGCCAGAAAATGGAGAGGAAAAGGGCCTTTACATTTTTGTTACATGGGACACCCTAGCAACTGTTAAAAAAATAGGAAATTAGGGATGCAATGAAAGACACTTTGGAGGATGATACCGATAGCTGATTTTTAAGGAGGCATATTGGCCAATACCGATCCAATTTCCGATACAGCTGAGTCCAGCTGGTAAGTCTGTTGTGGTGAAAGGGGAAGGAAGGGGGAGGGGCACGGGGAGCAGGTCAACACCCCCTGCGGTGAGGGAGGGAATGGGGATGAGGTAGGCACTGCCCAGCTGGGGTGGGGCAGGTGCAGGACAGAGCCACCGCTCGCTTGGGGGGCGGCTCCCACCGCTGCACACTGCTCATTCAGAA